ATAGACATATTTCTGTCCATTTGATATAACCATGATTAATAAGTCGATCATTCACAGGTTGTTCGTAACTAGAGCTGGGTCAATTTACCGTTTTACCCCTAAAGTTACTTCTTGTTCCTTAAGTCCCACTGATCCTCTAATGAACAATTGGTTTGTGGTCCAACCAGTAAACCGAATCCCTCTCAGGCCAATGAGAGGGTGGGGCCCCTTGTTCAAGACCTGGAGTCAGTGCTTAAGGGAACTACCTTTCTTCTATCCCTAAAAGCGGGTAGGAGTGAATTCCGTCTTGCACCTCACGTCCCCAGCTATTCACCCAGTCTTACCCTTGAAATGGGAGGCTTATTGAGTCGGCGAACTTGGGCCACTCTCACCCATGCAAATCTAAGGATAATTCTGAATAAACAGGAGTTCATAGTTAGCTCAAGATTAAAATTGAGTTACCTAGGTCATCGAATGAAAAAATCAGTCTCAACAGTAAACAACATTATAAAGTGAGAGTGGTTTTCTTCATGGTCCGATCTTATGCGATACTCATTGCATAGGACGCCTTCACTCACATGTCTCCACATGTACAATTTAGTGATCACATTGTTTACATCATATACAAAAGTGGGCCGCATCCATAGTGTCCCCAGAATAAGGTACTCAGCTTTATCCTTATACTATAGATCATTTTGACTATATATACTTGAACTTGATCCACTCTTATGTCTCTACATATAGTTCAAGTAATCATACTATAGTCAGAGTATTCTTAGTTTATTGGATTTAGATTAATGATCGTAAAATTCACTTTATTCAATAACGATCTTTACTGAATAAACATCAATAATAACTTTATAGAATATGTTTTTGTTTACCAACTATGAGTTTTAGGACATAAAACCCAACATAGATACATCTGAGACGTACAACACTGTGGGAGCATGAGATAAAGCAACCACAACATACAATGAACTGGGATAAACGAGAAAGAGCAACGAAAACGACATCGGTGAGTTTTGAAGAAGATAGAGAATCCTCAAGAAATCTCGAAGAAGTCGGGTGGAGAAGTAGGATCCACCGGGTCGGACTCAAACCCGAGTACCCAATGGCTACATCCTAGCCCAAGAAAACCTTCTAGCCCAAAGTTCGTTCCAGCCCAACAACACTGTCCAGCTCATCAAAACATTCCAGCCCAGTAACTAAATTTCAGCATTAAACCACTCAGTCAAAATTACAAGTCACAGCCCAACCGACACTTAGTTCAATAGTCATGGCCCTTCCACGCAAATAGTAGACGACCCGCGTACCCAAGAAAGAAACCCGACACCCGTGCTGACCCAAAACACAACCCGCACGCACATCACCTCTCCCCCAATGACATGTGTCGCACATGCTGAAGCTGGCTACTTCGGCTCCAGCAGCTAGGCTTGGCTCAGTTTGGCTTCACGCAATCCTTTAGCTAAAAAATTGCTTATTCAGCTCGGTTTAGTGATTTTGACTCGATCTTTACATTGTTTACCCTTCCATGCCTGATTTTGACCCTGGTAATCAAGGTCAATAAGATACCTTAGTTCACAAATTCAAGTTAAATTGCATTAGAAATGTGAAATACTGTTCTAATAGGAAACGACAATTGGAGATACATGGAGAAATTTCGAGAAACATAAAGTGGACGTACTCGAACATAGAGAAACGTTGACTAAGGCCAACCAAGTAAGTAACCTTACTATAGGATAGGTTGGACAATTTTTTTATGTAGGGCGACAAGTGCCTAGTAGTCCCTACACATGGCATTTATGTTTTATACTTATGATGCTTTGATGATGATGTATGATGTATGACGTATGATGATGTGAATGAGTTATATGATGATACCTTATAAAGTTATATGATGATTTTGATGTTGTTATATGATGACGTTGTATGATGATGATGATGCATGATAACATAATGATGAAAGATTGAAGAATTTCCTTAATACGACGCTTTTTCCCATATTAAGATGAGATGCATGTTGTAAATGCCATGTTACATTATGAGGATGATTTTCCTAGGACACAACCCTAGTTACCGTTAATGATGATGAATGTATGAAGACCAATGCACATATTACTTATAGTAATATGAGAATGAAACTTAGTATGGTGCAATAAATATGTCTTAACGATGAAAAACTATAAGGACCTCATGCATTTTGTGTGTACATATACATCTAGAAACTTCTCCTTTTAGGATGATGAGTACGAACGTGTACATTAGGATGATGATGATCATCATGCTTCGCACGACACTCAAGGGCCTGCTGATCTCCAGACATCGCTATGGATAGCTAGCTCGGCTATGATGGGATCCAAGGGATGTGAACCGCCTAGGGGTCCACGCTCGCAAGTGTGGGCCGTGTGTAGGAAAGTACTACACATGTAATTTAGACCGGATTGGAGGCCACCCCTATGAAGGTTTTAACGATAGGTCCCTAGAACATGAGTTGCATGTGTTGTCACTCCTATGATGGTTTTTCGACCCCAATAGTGGGGTCACTTACTGAATATTTTTTAAAATACTCAAGCCGTGTGCTACTTCTATTTCAGTTAAAGGCTAGACACCCATGTACACCTTACGACGACATTGCAAATCAGAGATCATGGCGAATGCATAAGCTAGTAACATTTTAAATTCTTAGATTTAGGTTAGTATAGATCATTTTGCATTTCATGTTTTACTTTCTCTAGTATTATTGTTTTTATCTTGTTTTGAATTATGATCTCGAACACGTAAGGCCATGGCAGTGTTTTAAGTTGATGTTACATTTTTTAAGATAAAGTTACGATGATGTTTGTAAGAGTTAAATTTTGCATAAGAACTTAGACTATGATGATAGTAGCGACTTTAGGTTAGTAAAAATCTAGGGTTGTTACAAGAGCCCTGGTCATGATGTTTTTATGAAAAGAAAGATCTCATCCTGATTTCCTGTATTATAATTTCATGACTCCAATATTAGGGCTACCTACTTTTGGGGTTATTTTTGTGTTTATTATATTGGTAAATTTTAAAAATATATATATAAAAAAGTTTGTTGCAATGACCTTAAATTTTCCCCCATTTAATCTAAGGTCATTACTGTACTTCTAACCTTACACGGAATTGCTTCCATGGACACTTTATAATTTCAACATTAATTCATATCTCCTTTATTACCTTGTGAATAAACAAATACAAGGGAAAGAAATAAAAAACAATGTTAAATTAAATACCATACACTAACCTATAGTTTATTAATGCAATTATAATTCAACTGGTACTAATCTATACAAATAACGCAAATGAAATTCAACCTATACTAACCTATACTATGAATATAAATACAACCCAACCTATACTAACCTATACTATGAATATAAATACAACCCAACCTACACTAACCTAAACTATTAAATTGGAAAACAAGTTTATCATATTCATGTGACACGGTCCTAGGATGTGCGATACTTCCATCGGTCTCACATCGATGTCTTACCTTTATCTGAAAATTTAGTAGTACGAGGCTTGAGTATTTTAAGAATACCCAGTAAGTGACCCCCTATCGGGGTTATACAACAAACACATGCAAATGAGATGATGGGCGTTGACGATTGGATTGTGGAACATGCCAACCTATGCCGTAGGCTAGTCTACAAGATATATAACCTAGAGCTCTGATACCAACTGAGCTACAAGAGCCACTTACTTGGTAGGCCTTAGCCAACGTACTCCCTCAAATATATACGTAAGCTTCTAACTCCTTGTATACGTCCTACGCTTTCGTCGGTGGTTGGTTCCTATTGGATCATTCGACATCTCGTGACCATAGCACATGCATAGGGTAGATTTTTTTTTCCAATTTAATAGTTTAGGTTAGGGTAGATTTTTTTTTCCAATTTAATAGTTTAGGTTAGGGTAGATTTTTTTTTCCAATTTAATAGTTTAGGTTAGTGTAGGTTGGGTTGTATTTTCATTCATAGTGTAGGTCAGTAGTAGCTACCAATTTGAGTGTCATGGCTTGGTTTATGGCCCTAGAGCACCATTTTAGGTCAAGGGACCCTGAAATCCGCTCCATGAGGTCTAGTTGTATGAGCCCATCATAAAGACTTAAAATAACTATAAGTAGCAAAAGACATTTAGTGGATTATTTTAAGACATGATTTTCGAGAAAAATGTTCATTTAGGCCCTTAAAGTGTGGTAAATAGTCTAATATTTTTATATTCACTTAAATATGAATAATCTTTGACTTTCTAGGTTCAAGTGATTCTCACGAGTATATCATAAGAAAAGACCAAAATGACTACTTACTTATTCGGGCGTACTCGAGGGCTCGGTTCAAGTCCTTCCCAAGGTCACTTTCTTCCAATTTTATTGGGTATGTTCCATAATGAGTTGACTTTCAATCACTATTGGTATTTAGGGGAAAGAACTAGCCATTGAAGGGTTAATTTTAAGACTGAGGTTGGATCAACTGTAGCATGGTGTGGGCGGTTCAGTTCAATCAACCACGTCATTGTCTTCTTCAGCGAGACAAACTAGTGCAGGATACTCACCTTAATGGATTTTCCAAAATTTTCTTCCTTCCTTAGTCTTCATTAAAGTGGTTAGAGAGCTCAACTTTCTTCATGATGTTCTTCAAAAATCTCCTCAAAACTCCAATTGAAAGGGGGCTTGAGGGATGAATTTAAGTGTAAGACTCCAATTGAATTTCCAATTTTTCCTCGTAAGTAACTTTCAAAATGTGTAGGAACAAATTTGGCAGATGCAGAGCTCACGAGAGGGCTTACGACCATCACCCGAATGTTTTCTTCGACATACTTGCGAAGGACGCCATCATTAATCGAGCAACAAACGCCTACATTTTAAATGGGGAGAAGGAGAAGAGAGAAAGTTGTCATAACAGGAACCACGGATCATCCCAACTATGAGAACTGCCTTGATCATGAATCTGAAGGGAAGCTTTTACACATTGTATGAAAGCCTAGCCTCACTCATGAAACAACCAACAACAAAATCTGACCACTACCAAAAAGTTATGAATCAGGCAAAACCAAAATCAGTTCATTTCTTTAAGATATAAATCATCAATCTGGCGCACAAATTATTTGATTACTGGTGAAGGGATTAAGAGACTTACCACTCAGAATTCATAATCTGCCCCAATGAAATCTACACAGCTGCTAACTGTGCCCGGATTCGACTACGTCGTTCAAAAGCAGTCATCCTAATGCCTGGTTGAAACAATGTGATTTCTTTTCTTTGTTCGTTGTAATGAATTCTAGCAATCGGTTTCGGGTCATATAATGCGATACTGTCATTTCTGACAGCTACCTAGATGATGTGTGATCGACCTCCTTGATGATATCTTCCTTTTCTTGATTCACATTGCCGTTTATTTTTAAGCTTTCCTTATCATCGCCTTCGCCAGCAGCTTCATTAGAACAATGATTCTTCAAAACGACTGAAATGTCAGCCTCGGAAGCTCCAGCAAGTCGAAAGCGATCTACAGCAGCATCAAGGTTCTTCTTCCAATCTCCAGTCCCTATTTTACATTCCACTTGCGACCTCTCAAAGAGCATGTTGCCCCAGAATAGATGGATTTGTGACTTCATCAATGCTGCTTGCTCTGCAGCTTCATTCGGTGAAACCTCGAGCTGGCCACCTATTCCCTGCATTTCACTGTCTGCACTGCCAGGCTGTTTCTTACGTCGCTTCGATAATTCTTCCCTCTTGCTTGCAGTTGGATCTTTTAGCTCCTTTGCCCTCAGCTCCTCTAATTTTTCCCACATCTCAGTAGCTACTTTCATTTTCTCCTCTGCACTGTCAAAAAGCTCAAGTGTTTCTGTAAAATCCCAAGATGAGAGATCTATTTTCTTAGCTAGTGCAAAAGACCAATGAAGTTTGGCCATTTCAAACTGCTGCTGACCAAGGGCCAATAGACCTTCATAAAAGTCAGGCTTGATCAAAAGAGCTTCTTCATATTTCTCTCTTGCTAGGGAGTACTTCTCCTTCACCCACTCATAAGCAGTTTGAAGCTGCTCTGCCACAATATCCTTTCCAGACGAGTCGTCTAGCGGAATGCGTTTCCTTGCAGCACACATGTGAACATTACCCCAGTTGAAGAAAGCTAAAGCAGCAACCTCCTGGAATTTAGATGCTGCCTTGTTAAAAAGATTCTGAGCTTCTTCACTAGTTACCGTCTCCTCAAGAGCCTCGGAGCAGAGCTCCATTCCAAGCTCATGCAAGTCTATATGAGCATCTGGATCAATACCAACATGGGTTCGGAAAAGTTGCGCAAATTCAAATAACCAATCGTCCATCTCAACTTCCTTGCACTCAGGATCTTCGGAAGCTCCTGGTATCTCCTTCACAACTTCCTTATCTATCTTATCATTTTCAGAATCAGTAGCTTCTGCCACAGACTCCCCAAGAGGTGAAGCGTGCCCGCTGTCATCTCCCTTTAACTCTTCAATTCCAACAGGTTTCTCGTCCGCTTCTTCCAACAACGGTGGCTCTTGCTCAGGACTCACCTCTACAAGATGCAATCTAAGCATTCCAATTGAAGCAGGTTTATCTTCTTCGGGGTCCTTGAGAGAAAGGCTATCGGCACAAAGCTCCGCAAGTCTAAGCTCACTTGTACAGGTTATTGTCACCAGATCACCATCCGAATCCTTATACTTGATCAATAAAGATTTTGATGAAGGAAAGCGCTTGCTCACAATTTCTCTAAGGACTTTGAAGTTACAATTCACTGGCATCATAGCAAGCCTAATGTCATGGTCATAGACAAGCTTCAAAGGCCTCAACTGAACCTTAGGTTCTTGATGTTGACTTTGAGCATGTGACAACAACGAAGAAAATGAACCTTCCTTCAGTTTATCTTCACATACATTAGGAGCCTTTGAAGATCCACTTGAAGGCTTCAAGACTACTTTAGGAAATTGCAATTTGGGTTCAGTTGGGCCATTTTCAGTAGGTAGAACTCCTTGATGCTTATCCATTTTACTATTTAGCAGTCCAGTAGCACCCCCAACGGAGGCTACTGCCTTCTTTTGAACCGGTCGGGCAGGCAAACATGGGCCTAACCCTGCAATGGGAGCACCAACAGCCGAGGCACCTAGAGCAGCAGGCGACGGGCGGCTCTGAAGGTCCTGTTGAGCCTCCTGGCGAGGACCCACAGCAGCCCTTAACCGCTGGGCAATGTCAAGAGCATCTCGATGGTTGGGATCGGCAACCAATAAGACCTGCACGTCCTGCATCGCCATTTCATACTTCCCGATAGCCTCAAATGCACGAGCCCTCCGAAGAAGAGCACGAACAAATAGAGGCTGGACCTGGAGGGCCATGGTACATTCAGCAATAACAGTATCATAATCAATTGGTTTCATTTGCATCAAACAGGCCGCTCTATTGCTATGAAACACAGCTCGATCAGGGTGGGATTTGGGGGTAAGACGAAGTGCACTTTCATACTGTTCAAGAGCACCAACATAATCCTTATTCTGAAACCTTTTATTCCCCTCTTCTTTCAACTCATGTGCTCTTTTCAAAAATATAGAAGAATCCAAATCAACACCCCCATTAGCATTCGGAGTGGAATTAACAGCAGAAGAAGCATGATTGGAAGCACCTTTCTTCTTTCGAGTCCCAGATTTCCCCATATAGATAAAAGCGAAAACAAAGCCCTTTGTCCCACTCCCCCACGCGGAAGATTCAAATGGCAAACAAGAAATTACAGAAACGAAAACGAAAGCTGAGAAATCGCAAAAAGTAGGCGGAAAACTTCAGGCATTAGAAGCAGAGAAGAAGAAAGAAACAAGCAAACTTACAGAAGCGAACTCCGAAAGTAGAGAATGTTGGATTGTTTGAGACGCCACAGGAAGGAATCGAAAATGAATTTGGAGAGCGAGGGGTGGAAGAAAGGGAGGGAAAATTGTTGGGAAAAATGGAGCGAGGGGAAACCCTAGATTGACGAAGAGGATGGGTTTGGATACAGGTGAGGTTTAATCATCTAATGTGGGTCCTTCCTTCTTGGCCGTCGGATCAAACAAACTAACCATTCCTTCCTCGTTGGCCGTCGGATCAAACAAACTAACCATTTCGTCCACACTTTCCCACTTTTGTAAGGGTAAAAGGTTCTAAGCTCGCTTTTTTCTCGCTCCAAAGATGTCAAGGAATTGGATTTCACCAATGATGGGATCAGCCGACTACCATAGTTGACTATTTTCGTGGTGTTGTAGGAAGCGAATTTGGAAGTAGGTCTCGCTTTTCAGAGCTGCTCCCTGCTCACACTATGGTGGAAGTGTCGTGAAGACTTAGGAGCTTGAGGAGTACTGTGTGAACCGAAAGTGCGCAGAAAAGAAAGAACCTACTTTTTCTCTCAAGTATAAGACTATTACTACATGTATGTCATGTCATTTCGAACTTATTCTACTTTTAAAATTTTGAAATCTCTGAAAATATATTTCAAATGTTCTACATTGAAATTTAATGAACTTGAATAAATGTAACAGACTGTTTGAGGGATACGCTATTGGAGAAGACTCATTCACCAAAGTGGAACCATGTCTTTACTCCGTTCGAATTTGATGTACACTTAAATCATTATGTAAGTATAATGTGATATTTGACTTTTAAGTCTTTATGAGCCTTCTAAAAGTTCCTTTAAATTCGTACAAGTATCAAACATAAGTCGTCCCAATTGCTTGAGTTCCACTTTTCGTCTCTTGATGCCTTCTTAAGAAATCTTGTACTCATATTCATAGAAGTGAAACTAATGACTCAAGAACCACATCTAATGATTTAGTTTCTAAAACTCAACGATGTTAAGCTCAACTAATCTCAAAAACGATCTTGACTCGATTTTCATAAAAAATATTCATTTTAATCTCATGAATTTATAGGAACAAATCTTATTATATTTGGTTGAGGGTTGAAGAAGAACAAATAAAAAGTGAGGTACACTCACAATTTTTGAATTAACCAAAAAATTAGAGAAAAAAAAGAAAAAAAAAAGAAAGGGAAATTGTACGACGTAGCTTAAGTTGAGAAGTGGGGAGTTGGAACCTCCCTCACTCTAAAAGGGAGATTCCTTCCTTCATTTTATCATCCCACTTGAACGGTTCGAAGTCGATCAAAGAATACACTTTCTGATGGCTCGAGACTGACATTTCGATTGATCCAGCTTGGGTCTGATATGTTCGAACTCTTTTCTACTATTTTCAACTCTTCAGAAGCACAGTATGACTACCTCTTATCTAGTTTAAATTATTAGGAGTAAGTTTAAATTATTTTATGCAAAATTAGGTGAGTCAATTCCAAATGTAGAATTCTAATTTATGATTGTTGGACTTTTTAGACATAATTAAATTTCAGAAAGTAGCGTTAAGCTAACATCAAAAAGTCGTAGTAGCTTCAACCTAGGCCTACAAAGTAAGTGACCCTACTATCGGCTCAGTCGGAAGACTTGTCTTATGTATGATGATACGTGCCCAGTGGCCCTTGCACGTGTCATGTATGTTGATATGATGTATATGTTATAATGATGTGGTTTGCTATGATGTTATGATATGTTATGATGATACATTATGTTATGATGTTATGATACGTTATGATGATGATGCATTATGACATGATTACCTGAGATGTATGATGATGATAAGACATAATATAATGATACCTCTTATTTCGATGATATGCTTGTATGACATGTCATGTTGGATTATGATAATGAAGAGTATTGTGATACACAACTCTTAAGTGATGTTATGAATGATGAATGTATGAAAGCTTGTCCATGCATGTTACCTATGGTAACATGTGATGGATGTGTGGAGTTGTGTTGTATTAATGATGTAACGTCCCTAATTTTCTTATCCTAATTAGTGACATCACTCATGCATGCATAACTCATTATGCGAAATCTCATCATAAATAACCTTGGAAAACACAACCAAGTCTTTCATAAAGGTCCAAAAATTCAAACAAACATATCTCTGAAGATAAAACGTTGAGTAAATGAATTCAAAAAACTCTAAATAAAACAACGTTCAATGCTTTAACTTAAAAACAGTCAAATAAACGTAAGCTACTAATAATGCCCCTCTTCAACTTCCATGGTATCCTCAACTTCACCCAGCCGTACATTAGTGTCTTGCCTTTACGTGAAAAATGTAGGTAGCATGTGGCTTGAGTATTTTATGAAATACTCAGTAAATCACCACACTGTTGAGGTTAGAAATGCAAACACATGCAACACATACAACACATGAGTGGGACCTATCTTTTAGTAAACTTTACATGGCCTTGGGTGCTTTTCTATTCTTGGTAGGGTTGGATGTGTGGTACTCCTTCACACATGGCCCATGTATGCGCACATGTGTTGGGTTTTATGTCCTAAAACTCATAGTTTGTAAACAAAAACATATTCTATTTTCAATAAAGTTATTATTGATGTTTATTCAGTAGAGATTGTTATTGAATAAAGTGAATTTTATGATCATTAATCTAAATCTAATAAACTAAGAATACTCTGGTTATAGTATGATTACTTGAACTATATGTAGAGAGATAAGAGTGGATCAAGTTCAAGTATATAGTCAAAATGATCTATAGTATAGGGATAAGGCTGAGTACCTTATCTTGGGGACACTATGGATGCGGCCCACTTTTGTATATGATACAAACAATGTGATCAATAAATTGTACATGTGGAGACATGTGAGTGGGGGCGTCCTATGCAATGAGTATTGCATAAGATCGGACCATGAAGAAAATCACTTTCACTTTATAATGTCGTTTACTGTTGAGACTGATTTTTTCACTCCATGACTTAGGTAACTCGATCTTAATCCTGAGCTAACTATGAACACCTGTTTATTCATAATTATCCTTAGATTTGCATGGGTAAGAGTGACCTGAGTTCGCCGACTCAATAAGCCTCCCATTTCAAGGGTAAGATTGGGTGAATAGCTGGGGACATAGGGTGTAAGATGGAATTCGCTCCTACCCGTTTTTAGGGATAGTAGAGAAGTTGTTCCCTTAAGTACTGACTCCAGGTCTTGAACAAGGGGCCCCACCCTCTCATTGACCCGAGAGGGATTCGGTTTTGTGGTTGGACCACAAACCAATTGTTCATTAGAGGATCAGTGGAACTTAAGGAACAAGAACTTTAGGGGTAAAACGGTAAATTGACCTAGCTCTAGTTTTGAACAACCTGTGAAGGATCGACTTACGAATCATGGTTATATCAAATGGACATAAATATATCTATAGTGAGGAGAGTGCAACTACTAGGCTATAGTGGAGTGTCCTAGTAGTTAACGAATGTTGGTTAACAAGGTTAATGAGTTTAGTCGGTTAATCTCGCGTTGGAGCCCATGATCTGTAGGTCCATTATGTCCCCTACTAGCTCATATCGAACTAATCCTTAAAACAGTATGACGAGTGAGTTCGAAGTATTCGAATTCAAATTAGAGAATATACGCTAAATATATATGATATATTTAATCGCATTTTGTTTTAATTATGAGTTAAACAAAACGAGAGAATTGGAGATATTTAAATAAAATTCAAATATTTTAATTATGAATAGGAATTTATAATCCATTGGGATTGATATTTGATTTAATATTAAATATTAATTAAATTGTTTAATTAATCATTTAATATTATTTTGATATAAAATTACTTATTTAAATTAATGGTTGAATTAAAATAAAGAAAGTCAAAAAGTTGAATTCACTCTCTGGAAAATCTATGTTTGAGTCAGTGGAATATTGAGTGTCAATATATGATTTAACCAAACTTGCATATTTGCCACATAATCCAACAAATTTGAGTGGAATTTTGAGTGTCAAAATTTGGTTTTTAAGCAGGTTTATCAAATAAAACCCACAAATTTAAGTGAAATTTTGAGTGTCAAAATTTGGTTAACTCAAATTTGCATACTTGCCACATAACCCCACAAATTTGAGTGGAATATTGAGTGTCAAAATTTGGTAATCTCAAATTTGCATGAACATGCAAATATGACTCTATAAATAGAGTGATCAAGGTACATGTAACTTCTTCGGGAAAAATTTTGAGAAAATCTCTCAAAACTCTCTTTTTACATATACTAAATTCCTATCAAGTTTAGTCAGTCACTAAATTCCACAATCCCGTTCTAAGGACAGAGAATAGTAGGGAAGACACTAGTGGCGGTTCGAAACCAGTTCCCGAAGAAAAAAGAATTTGAACTACAAAATGTTAGTATTCAAACGCATTGAGTTTTAACGCTTTTGAACATGCTAGCTAATTTACTATAATTTATGTACTTAGAGTGCCTAAGATCCAAATTACTTCTGCACGTGTTATAGTAACACCATCAATCATTACATATCCCAACATCATAATATATGATATCATCATAATGTAACCTATCATCATAACATGACATTACATGTCATCATAACACATCATAACAAACACATGACACATGTATAAGCCACTAGGCATGTGTCATCATATATAAGATAATTCTTCCGACCGAGTTAAATAGTATGATCACTTACTTGGTTTGCCTAGGCTGAAGCTACTACGATCCCTTGATGTTAGCTTAAACTCTACTTCTGACATATATTTTCGTTAGATCTCATTTTATAATTAATCTTTACATTATTATTTTTATTGTTACATTTTAAAATCATAGTTTATCGTACGTTGAATAATGATTCTGTAAAATATAAATGTTAAGAAATATTCAGTAAGTGACTTCACTACTGCTATTAGGAAATGTAATTACGTGTAATTATGTTCGGGACCTATCATAAAACATCATTTCATATCTATGGTCTCAACTTCCAGTCTAGGTAGAATTGGATGTGTAGTACTACTCTACACACGGCCCACATACTTGCATATGGACCCCAGGTGAGCTCGTATACATACCCTCTGAACTTGGCCTTTGACTAGCGTACACCCATGCTATTGGAATACCACGGAAGGAATGGAGCATGCATAGTATTGTTGTATATACAATACCGTATCATAACTTCATGACAAACATAAATATCGTATTGTACATGTCCATACTAATCATAACGCGAAAGTATCCTAATACACGTAAACATAAAATATACTTAAAGTTCTCATAGTTTAAAATCATGACATGTATCCGGGATACAATACATACATAACATAATCATTTCATGTCATTACAGAAGGTTTTGTATAATATGGTATAATACTTTCATAACATGTCACATTCATAAGTAGCATATCATGTCAACATGATATTACATAACATGACATATCTCATCATATAATAATAAACATAACAATCATAAGGTATGACACATACAAGGGTCATAGGGCACATGTCATTCATACTACAAATGATTCATGTTGCCCAAACGGTAGAAAAACCACCTACCTGAGTAGCTTAAATTGAACTCGATAAATTATACTTGGAGTTAGTCCAATTCTGTCCATTGAAATTCAAGTCAACCTATACAAGTTCACACAACATCATATTAGAGCATGTTGAGCGGTATAACTTACTTAATACTATTAATTAAAAATCTAATATAGCTTTTGACACTTTAATTTGGCCAAAAAGTGGTCGTTTTTATCTTAATTGCCTTTGTGTTAAGAATGAGAACCAAAAGTGGCATCCAAAGTACGATATTCATTACTATTGACAACGTTTAAATAGGAAAAGCTGCCAACTAACTTCTAAAAACAAGGAGAAAATATACCGCTAACCAACTGATGAAAACAAAGAAAATATATCAACTCATAAAAGTAAGGGGAAAAAAAAAATACTAATGGATGACGACTATATCAAATATATTTTATACCTTGATACTCGACTTCTACTAATGATCTGGACACATTGGTTTATTCTTTGGACTGCCAAGAAATAATTGAATTTTTCAAGAAGATGCAGAACTAGAAATAGACCGTCTCGTAGTTCGACAACCACTCTAGTCAGAATCGCAATATGCTTGTAATCTCAAGTTTTTTTCAGATGGTAGTAGAAGTTCTTGACTAAGAGTACCTTTGATGTATCTCAGAACTCGAAGAGCTGCTTCCCAATATGGTTTTCTTGGTTCACACATGAATTGGCTAAGCATACTAACGGAATACACTATGTAAGGTCTGGTAACAGTTAAATATATTAATCTGTCATTCAACTGTCTATATTTTCTTGGATCATTCAACTTATCTTTTTCTGTTAAAGAAAGATTCAGATTTTGCTCCATAAGAAATTTTTCTGGACGTCCCCCTCTAAGACCTGTGTCTTGAAGAATGTCTAAAGTAAATTTCCTTGGAGACATAAACATTTCTTTTCTAGATCGAGAAAATCCAATGCCCAAAAAATATTTCAAATTCCCTAAATATTTTATAAATAGTTTATTGAGTAAACAAGTCTTGAGATGTTGAATTTCTTGAAATCATTGTCTGTCAACAGAATATCATCAACATAGATAACACCTACGGTGAAAGAAATACCTCTACTCTTAAATAAAGAGTAATCAGCTTTTAACTGAGTGTAATCTACATTTTTTTATAGTGGTAGAGAATATGGAGAACCAATTGCGAGAAGCCTGTTTTAACCCATAAAGAAACTTATGTAGTCGACATACTGTGTTCTCCCCCTATCGGTGAAGACCTAGTGGTAAAAACATGTAGACTTCCTCGTTTAGATTACCATGGAGAAAGATATTTTGAACATCCAACTGATGAGTGAACTATTTTTTAGCAGTAGCAATAGTGAGTAAGCAACGAAGTGTAGTAAGTTTCGTTGTGGGAGAAAATGTCTCTTTGTAATCAATACCTTCAACTTGAGTGTATCCCTTTGCTACCAGCCGAGCTTTATAACGTTCAACAGAATCATCAGAGTTGTAGTTAATTTTGTACCACCCAACGACAACCAATAGCTTTATGGCCAGGTGGTAGAGGAATGAGAGACCAAGTATGATTACATTCCAAAGCTGTAATTTTAGCATTCATAGCCTACTGCCATAATGGGTCGCCAACTGCCTCATCATAGGTTTTAGGTTTTATCTAGGTAGGCTGTAATAAGAGTTAGAAAAGCACATTGAGTATAAGAAAAATGAGAGCATGAAAGGTAATGATGAAGGAGATACCTGGTGCCAATGCTGGGACTTGAGCTAAAGGTTAAATGATTGGCTATAGGAGACATCCAATAATCATTATGCCAAGCTGGAGACTGTTTGGTACGAGTAGAACGTCGGAGTGAAACTGATGTATCGGGTTGGATAGGATTAGAATTAATGGATGAATCTGGAGAAGGAACAGAAGGTGAAGAAGATGACGAAATATGAGGAAAATGGATGTTTGAATCATGGTGTGATAAAATGGGAGTTGAAGGAGCTGATGTCAAAGTTTGTGAAGCTGATGAAAAAAGGAAAATCATTTTCATAAAATTTAACATCACGAGGGATAAAGAATTTGTGAGATTGTATGTCATATAATTTGTAACTTTTGTGACCATTAGGATATCCTAAGAAAACACAAAGAATTGTCTGAGATTCAAATTTTTGTTTAGGATGTACTACAGTTGCATAACATTTACAACCAAAGACTTTAAGATGATGAAATGTAGGTGGTCATTTGTAAAGTACTTCAAAGTGTGTCTTGTTAGATAGCAACCGAGATAGTGTTCTATTTATAACATAAACAATAGTTAAAATGCACTCTCCTAAAAAATTAAGTGGAACATTTGATTGAAAGAGAAGAGACCTAACTACATTTCGAATATGACGATGCTTACTTTCTACTCCTCCATTTTGTTGTGGAGTATAGACACAAGTGTGCTGAAATTCAATAACCACAAGAAGTAAAAAATGGTTGCAAAGATAGGAACTTAGTCTCATTGTCTGATCGTACTATCTTGATATTAGCGTGAAATTGAGCTTGAATAAATTTAATAAACTTCATTAACAAATGTTGTACTTTTGATTTATGTTACATAAGAAAAACCTAAGTATATCAAGTAAAATCATCAATAATAGTTAGAAAAAAACGCAAACAAAAATGGGTAGGAATTTTATGAGGTCCCCAAACATCACAATGTATCATATGAAAGGCAGAATGTGTTGCTACTGAGCTTCTTGGAAAGACGACCTAGCTTGTTTTGCTAATGGGCAAATACTACAGTTATGAGAAAAAATAGTATTATCAAGATGCAATTGATTAGCTAGAAATTTAAAGCGAGAAAATGAAGGATGACCTAGGCGTAGATGTCACAAATCAGATGATTGAGATACTTGATTGGCTGAAGGTTTGATTGGAGATAAAGAAATACGCTAGAAACCTCCAAATTGTTTACTCGAGCCAATCATCTTCCCCGTAGTCAAGTCCTGCATAACAAAAATAAGGATTGAAGGCGACACAACATTTCAAGTTATTGGTAAGTTTTGCTGATGGACATCAGAATAAAAACACACATAAAACATTGTTTGATTTAAAGTCAGGATTAAAGAATACATTGCCAGAGTGTGTCACGTGTTGTCCCTCCATTAACAAAATTAGACGTGATTGGAGACTTTGGTTCTGTCATAACAAAAGTTTGGATATTATATGATCCATAGCTCCACTATCGAGAATTTATGAATTAGAACTAGCAGAGTTAATGAATATTACAGATACTCGAAACAAACCTGCAGTATTGATATAACTATCAGAATTACTAAAAAGACAATGATTGAGTGTAGATAAGGCTTGTGCTATATGTTGTAGTTGCTCATAATATTAATTTGGAATGAAATTAGGTGATTGTCCTTCTATATTCAATTGAGAAGCATAAGCTACATTTGCAAATGATCAATATCTACGATTGATACATTGATTGACTTGTATTGTCGTAATACCATGTTAAGAACGAGAAATAGAAATAGGATTGAAAGTACAATTTTGATTAATGTGAGGATACAATCTATCAATTAACTTGTGAAAATAAGGAAAAAATTATATGTTCAACCAACTGGTACAAATGAGAGAAAATACATTATTAAGGGATAAAATATTAATTAGGTTATGGATGTCTAACATATGATTCATAGTAATATTGTATTAAGGTTTGAAAAATAAATAAAAAGCACATGTTTGAAGGTGACGTGGAACAAAGTTGAGATTTATTAAGGTAGTACAGGAAATTAAGGTAAGAAAAGGAAGTAGTTTGTTATATTAGCTCCCAAAGGCAGGCATGAAAATCAGGTAGATTTGTTGCTTAAAACTTTGGAAGGAATCTCGACAAACATGGTGAGGAAACCCATGGGTAGCAACTTCCAAAGAAATCGCAGACTCTTCCGAACACTTCTCTCCAGCTCCATCAATAGCGACAACTTCATTACTACAAAAATGGTTATTGGAGCAAGTGTGACCAAATACAAAAGGCATTCGGCCCATACCATGTTGGTGGATTTGAGTGTGAGCACGACCGCCACAGCGAACGCAATCATGGTGCTCGCCACCGACAAGAACAGCAGATTGAATCCCAAGGACAATTGAATTGGCAATTCTTGTCGAAAAGCATCCATCTCAAAAGGGGAGGTCAAGATCAAGAGAAACAGAACCAAGGAGGAGAGCGATGAGATGAGGGAGGCGATGTCTAAGGCGGTGAACAAAATGTAGATAGGGTCAGAGAGGAGAACCGGAGAGCCAGTTTTGGAGTTGAGTCCACCGGGAACAGTGAAGGCAGCGGCGAAGGCGACAGTGGCCATGAGGACAGCAACAGCAGAGCAAGACTCGGAGGTTTTCTTGATCCATTCTTTGCCTTTATCAAGCATATCCTGGTGAGTTTCATCAAAGAACTCACGGGGTTTCCAACCGTCTTTGCTATAATGCATGTTGTATGGGTGCGGAATCATTTCATGGACGCGATCGAACCAGTCAATCTCATTTTGAAGCTGTATTGCTGGACCAAAGGTGGAATGATTGAGGAATTTAGTGATTCCAACATGGTGCAATACTGTGTAGCCCAACACGTCGATCCTCTTGGCCAGTCTGTGCAAGATAAGATCTCGGCGTTGAATCCATTCAAAGATGTTGAGTTGTCGGTGTGCAATGATGACATGTAGAATGTTTCTGTCGTTTGTTGTCACGTAGTCCACAGCCTGTGGGTGGGCTTTGATGATCCTTTCAACCACTTCTATTATTCCCCTGGCTGCGGCCAGTAACAATGGCGTCTCATGGTAGTCCATGTATTCAATATTTTTACCATCGGTCTTTTGCTAGTTCTAATACGTTAACATGAATGCTGTCGAGCTCCTGTTTTTTCCGGCAACATGACAAATCTATGTCCAACTCTATGTCCACTAGCATTTCAGTGATTCTTAGAATTAATTTATGTCTTTGCTTATTCTTGTACAGATCTCTGCATTTAGGCCACCCTGTGTTTTAAATGTCATAATTAATATATATATATACACTATTTTTTTTTTCTCGTTAAAAACATGTTTTAGAGTTAGAGAAAGAAGACCTCGCATGATTAATCTCCCGACCAACCTCTTCAAACTTTGTCTAACATTTGTACCTGCCACGCATTGTTTTTGATTGAATACGAGTAAGATTAAGACTTTTCGGTTTTTAAGAGTTTAAAATGTTAGGAATCACGACTCTCCACAATGGTGTGATATTGTCCACTTTAAACTTAAGCTCTGATGATTTTGGTTTGGGCTCTCCAAAGGTCTCATAGATGTATTCCTTATGAGTAAATTAGGGTAAGTAGAACTCCCTTCTAACAATCTTCAGCATAAAATATAAATATGATGCATTGAGTAAATTAGGGTAAGTAGAACTCCCTTCTAACAATCTTCAGCATAAAATATAAATATGATGCATTTGGTAAATTATTTTTAAAAATATTTATTAAAAGTAAATACTTTAAAAAAAAGAGAAGTTACCCAAACTAGAACACCAATTATGTTTATGTTTAGCGACAAATCCTGCTTCTAAATCTCGAGGTGGGTACTTGAACTTGTAGAGTCATTGTGGTTCACAGAGCAAAATTTAAAAAAATTAAATGGGTAAATCTTGTCCTCAGGCAGCCCTGTGATGTGATAAGAGAAAAAAAATTAAGAAGTTAAAAAAGGAAATTCTTACAATCATTGTTGAGAAAAGAAGAGAAGGAAGAACATTGTTACAATCATAGATCAATTTGGCCCAAAATCCCTTCAGGTATCCACTCTCAAAAATGTGTGGCATATTGGCCAGCACGTGGAGAGCCGTCTGGTTTTTTGAATCCTTCATCTCCAACAGTGACTTGTCGAAATCCACCAACATCATAACCATCTCTGCAATAAAAGCTTTGAATTTTAGGTATTAAAACTTTGAATTAGCTTCAATTATGGTAACAAAAACTGAGACACTAACCAAAGTTCTCGCTTTGAATGGCTGCATGAATGATTGGAGTACCCTTTGCCATCCAATTTAGGGGAGATCGAGTGTAATAATCTTCACATTCATTCAAAATATATTCAACGATCTCGAGTTTCCCATATCTGGCTGCCCTATACAAAGGCGTTTCACCCCTAATGTTCATCTCCAACAAATCCTCCTTCCTTAACTCAACCAAGAGCTTAACAGCACCCAAATTCCCGACAGTGGCAGCTTCATGTAGAGGTGTGTTTTCAGCGAAGCTCTTCCAATACAATGTGTACTCAATCTCCATCACCTGCGCAAGAAAGGTTTTTAAAGGTTCTTCTTTTCCACTGTGCACTGCCAAATGCAACGACGTGTCTCCACTGCCAGTGATCGGAAGCACCAGCTTCCACGCTTCCTTACATACCTTGCCCAGATTATCCCATTCTCCCCTCATCGCTAAAATGTAGCACTCTTTGTTCTGCTTGGACAGATCCATATCTTCTTTGGGTCTTAGTTTCTTGTTTTGTTTGCCATCGCTAACCCAAATCTATTTTATATTAACTTATATCTCTTTCTTTCTTTTCTTGTTCCGGTCATAAAGTTTGTATTCTTTTTCTTTAGTCACTTTCCCAATCATGTAACATAATAAAGTAAAAGTAAGGACAGTTGCTTCAATTTCTTATACAAAATTTGTTCCTTCTTCAAACCCTTTCGTCTTCGCTTCTTCTTCCACACTACTCCCGGCCACTTTTACTACCTTAAACATAAAACTTCTCCCTATACTATCTTTTTTATCTATTTCCTAATTTCATTTCTCAAGAAAGGAACCCAAATGTTTTGATTCTTATTTAAGGAAATTAAGGTGAGTATATTACATGTTAGATATGGTACGTGGAAGGATACGATATGTCAACTATATGATATGTCGAAGGATGTAATATGTTGCTTGACATGAATTGCCACAACCCAAAATTTGAGACTCAAAATCAAGGGCTAAGCTAGTGGACAAAAACATTTAAAAAAAGAGATTGACAAGAGGAAATTACTGAAAAATGTTAGCAATTAAGAAGAAGAATTGCCATCAAAATAAAATGTGTGAAGTAACTATTCATGATATGTATAGACTCCTAGATGCCCCGAGACACTCCTATGTGGCTTTAAGACGCCTGCGCGCACTCCTGTATTGATCAGTGGCATCACTCACCTGAAAAGAAAAAAAAAAAAAGAAAGAAAGAAAGAAAGGAATGAGTTTTAAATACTCAGTAAACAACCAATTGTAGACTCTTTTTGCAACCTTATCTTAATAGGTATCTACGACCTTGTCTCGGAGTTTTAGGAAGTGCTAACTAAGTAACAACTCTATTTTCTACAACTTATGAGGCTTGCCTATCTTATGCGGTGGATGATCAGTGTCCTGGGATGAGGCGCGACCTCACCAGTAAAACTGAGGGGATAGTGTAGCTGAATCTGAATCAGTATCGCTCTCTGAACATCATCCGTGGAGGTTAGTTGACAACTCTCCCACGAGACCATACTACAACTATAATCGGGAGGTTGCGATCTCCTGCATGCCGATCAGCTACTAAGTCATCTACATTGTCCCACGCTCACCCGCATAGAGACAGGTTTCTATGGCTCGAAGTCCTGTTCAGGAGACCCTTTAGATATCACCAATTGGTTGGGGCACAAATCACACTACCCTGTCTGGCTGCATCTAACTCAATGATCTTAGTATCTGAGTTAAGTCTCGACGATACAGTATCTGAGCAGAGAGGAAACTGGCGGCTCTAGTGGCATAATCCACGTTGCACAAGTCTAGCGGGCTACCTCGGTTGTCTACAATTACCGTGGTGTCCTACTAGGTCTTTCCATGGCGGTCCTAGTGGCTTAAACTTGGACTCATTCATCTTTAAGATTCTTGCAATAGGACTCTCAAACTTGTTTTAGGTCTTTGTCTAGCTTACTGTCTCATGCGCCATAGTCTAGGCTCGTACTTTCTTCCTATTCACAATAAGAAAGACAACACAAGCAATCATGGATTGGAGTTAAAATGTAGCAGTTTATGCAATATTAACAAACATGCTCGACGGGAAGATAACGTCCATCTTCACCCGGAGCGCAGACTTCACAAATTTCTCTTTCTTCTTTATCATGCATCAATATCACATTCTCATTCTAAAGTGAATTCATAGTCAATCATATATAGATATCATTGTTCTTATTTAATTCATAGTCGCTCGATTGTCCATCTTTCACTCGTGTTTCAATACTAATGTTGTTTTACTATGAATTTGGTGCCTATAGAGGAATTTGGTAATTTTTTGACTCCTCTACGACTAATCAACCCAGACTTAGGAAAATACACATCAGACAAGTAAGTCATCATTTAGATTCCCATGAGCAGTACTCGTAGGAAACGCTTGGAATAAGCATGCATGCTGTCAACCTGATTATCCTAGCCAGCTAGATCTAGATAGTATAGGGAGAAGTTTTATGTTTAAGGCAGTAAAAGTGGTAGGGAGTAATAGTGTGGAAGAAGAAGCGAAGACGAAAGGGTTTGAAGGAACAAATTCGGTATAAGAAATTGAAGCAACTGTGCTTACTTTTACTTTTTTATGTTACATGATTGTCAAAGCTATTAAAGAAAAAGAATACAAACTTTATTACCAGATGAAGGAAAGAAAAAGAGAGATATATTGTTGGGATTTAGGCCTTAAAGTCTAGTAATTAATTATTTAGTTTTTAACCATAGTTTTTATTATTTTATTTGTAATTTAATTATTATCCATTGTATGAAAATCTAAGGTTATTAATGTATCTTAAACAGTATATGGTTGACATACAAGAAAATTATGTTCAAGTAATAACCTACAGAGTTTATAGTATATGAATAAGGTTGGGTGTCTTATCCTAGTAACCTATTAGTACGGCCGCTTTGTAATCGTTATAAATGATTTGATCCAAATCATTCATGTGGAGACATGTAAGTGGGGGTATTCTATACAACGAGTTTGTATAAGACTGGACCAAGAAATATTTAATCTCTCTTTATAAATCCATTAATTGAGAAGATTAATATTTCACATGATGATTAGATGCGACTCGATCTTAATCTTGAGTGAGTTATGAACTCCTGTCTGTGAGGACTTGTCCTTTAATTTACATTGGTGAAAATTGCTCTTTTTGGCCGATTCAATATGCCTACCATTTTGGGGACTTGACCAAATAGGGAGTTTGGAACATAATATCATGAGATGGAATTCACTCCTTTCCTATATGGAAAGTAGATGACTTGTTCCCTTAAGTACTGATTTTGGGACTTAGAACAATGGCCCCACCCTTTCATTAGCATGAGAGGAATTTAGTTTATGATTGGATCATGAACCAATTGTTCATTAGAGAATCAGTGGTACTTAAGATGTAATTGTAGGGGTAAAATGGAATTTTGACCCAATTGTAATTATGAACAACTCGTGAAGGATCGACTTTCTTGTAATAGTTATATCAATGGACATAACTTGTCCTATAGTGCATAAGAGTGCAACTCTAGATCTATAGTGGAGTGGACAACCGTCAAGGAATGAAATTGGTTAATTAAAGAGTTTAGTTAATTAATTAATTAATTTTATATCATTGGAGCTTATAATATGTAGGTCCCCTGTTAACTCATTGTAACGCTAAAAGGTTCAATTTATTTAAAAGAAATTTGAAATGTTCAAATTGATATTTAATATATTAGATATATTAAATAAATAGATAAAATATATTTAATCTGAAGTTTTCAAATTAATATTTAATATATTAAATAGGTTAAATATAAATGGAGAAAATATATTAATGTGAAGGATTCAAACTAATATTTAGTATATTAAATATATTAAAAATGAAAAATATATTTATTGTATTTAATACAATTAAATATTAAATATTTTGATATATTAAATAAAAATATATTTGAAATTTGAATAAGATTCAAATTAATTAAATATATATTAGGATTTATAATATCTAAATATGATTTGTACAAGGTATTATATAATAATATATTAAATATACAAATATATTATTTGGCAATAATTCTCTGAGAGTCCCTATAAATAGGACCCTTGGGTTGAGCCAAAATATATCAATCTCTCTTACTTCTTTGGATAATAAATGCAGAATTCTCGAAACTATTTCTTCTTCTCCAATCCCTTTGGGATTTTCTTTCAAGAGGTTCCCACAAGCCTTGACTTTGTGTTTGAGTCAAAGCAAGGAAGATCTTGTGGAATGTGGAAGAACGTTTTCATGGTTGGATTACTTCAATAAGTCTTGCAAGCTAGGGTTTCTACAAAGGTAGAGTTCTTATACTCGAATTTATTGCTTTTGTTTTAATTCATAATAAATTTTAAAACGGTTCCCAATGCTTCCGCTACGTGGATGAAGAGTTCTTTCCCTTCAATGATATGGAACGATTACGTTATGTATGAAATGAATGAAGATATGCATTGCTTTATGGATACGTGTCATGATTTTAAACTATAAGGACCTCAAGTATATTCTATGTTTACGTGTATTAGGATACTTCCGCGTTATGATTAGTACGGACATGTACAATACAACATTTATGTTCGTCATGAATTTATGATACGATATTGTATACACCACAATATTATGCATGTTCCATTCCTTCCGAACTACGTGACCCGATTAGCAAGATGGTGATAGTGAGTCGCGATGTGCGAGTAAATGAAGCAAGCGAATGAGACTGGAACAATTTGACGGAAGTCAATATCGAAGTTGGAGAATCCTCAGTCGCTGCACCAACAAGTGCACCAACAAACTCAGAAATTTTCGATGATGAAGATGAACCACGACAACCCAAAATGCGAAGTTTGTGAGATTTGTATGACTCAACAAATGAGGTACACCTTGTATGTCTTCTGGCAGATGCTGAAAATATCAGCTTTGAAAAGGTGGTGCGAGACACGAAGTGGTAAACTGCCATGGATGAGGAGATTAAAGTGATTCATCGCAACAACACAATGGAAGTGACAGAATTACTGGAAGGAAGTCAGCCCATAGGTGTGAAGTGGGTATTCAAGAAAAAAAATGAATGCTCAAGGCGAGATTGAGAGGTACAAGGCACGACTTGTTGCGAAGGGATACAAGCAAAAGGCGGAAATCGACTATGACGAAGTGTTTGCTCCCTTCGTTAGAATGAAGACAATCTGATTGCTCATTTCTCAAGCAGCTCAATTCAAATGGCTGATTTTTAAAATGGATGTCAAGTCAGCAGTCTTGAATGGTGTGCTTGAAGAAGAAGTATATCTCGAACAACCTCCCGAGTACATGAAAATTAGAGAATAGAAGAAGGTACTAAAATTGAAGAAGGCGCTTTACGGTTTGAAACAAGCACCACGAGCATGGAATACTCGCATCGATACATACTTCAAGAATTACAGGTACAAGCAATGTCCCCACAAGCATGCATTTTACACAAAAAAGAGTGGAGATAATGTGAT